ACCAGAATAGGACAGAAAACACGGAAAAGTAATTTTGCTTCATGATGTCGCACCATCACACACTTCAAAACCAGTCAAAGACACGTTAAAAGATCTTGCCTGGGAAGTATTAACCCACCCACTGTATTCACCAGACCTTGCTCCTTCAGGTTACGACTTGTTCCTATAGATGGCACACACAATTTCTGCACAACACTTCAAAACATACGAAGAAGTGGGAAACTGGGTCTGTGAATGGTTTGCCTCAAAACAAGCAAAGTTCTATTGGTACTGTATCCACAAATTACCTGAAAGTTGGGAGAAATTTGTAGCTAGCGATGGACATTACTTTGAATAAAGCATTTTTAATGTTTCTCTTGAAATTATTGTGTTTTCTTTGTTACAAAATCCACATTATTAAACAGTATATGATCATAGTAAGCTTTCCATAGAAGAATAATATTTACAGTTATATAGACAAGCTCCCATTTATGGATTATACCTTTCAATTCAACAGCACATTTTTGAAAGCTATAGAATGTCTGCTTTTGATGGGTCATCAACTGACTCAAGGAATTGCTTAGAAGAATAAAAGTAGTTGAATAATGGCATTTGAGAGCACTGGCTAGTCCTCAAAGAGATGAGTCCCTCTCATCTGCCCTCTTACAGGGTCTCCTCGTGTGTAGTTGTCCCCTTTGCTTTAAAAGCCTTTTAGCTTTTATTATCCACAATTTTATTATTAAGAATATGCACTTTACTACCTACCAGGAACAGGGAAAAAAAGCCCAAACTCATAGAATCTATACTAATAATAGAGCAATATGCAAATTGTCTGGGACACCATCACAGTAACAGTAACGACGGAACAGCAGGCTGAGTGGGCCAACAAAGCTGGCAGGGGGATTAGTGAGGGACGACCAAATAACTGAACAGCAGGCTGTATGAGCAACCAGGCTGGCAGGGTGCGGGCAGTTGGGGGCAATCAGGATGTTGAGGAGGGGGACAGTGAGGAGCGACCAGGCTGACAGGGTGTTGGCAGTTGCAGATGACCAGGCTGGCAAGGAGGGGGGCAGTTAGTGGTGACCAGGTAGACAGGGGGGGGCAGTTGGGGGCGATCAGTTAGGCAGGCAGGTGAACAGTTAGGAGCCAGTGTTCCCGGTTTGTGAGAGGGTCATCCCCAGAGGGGTCCCGGATTGGAGAGGGTGCAGGCTGGGCTGAGGGGACCTCCTCTACCCCCTGTGCATGAATTTCATGCACCAGGCCTCTAGTGTCTTTATAATAGATGTGTGACAGAGGCTCTGCTGTTTGAAGAAAAGCAGTAGATTTTAATAATAAAAACATGAAATATTCCAGAAACCTAGGATATTTGATAATCTAATGAATAGGTTTTTTATAACTTCTATTTTGTAGGGTGGGGATATTGTCACATCACAAACTATATAGTATCAATTTCTGTCAATAAGATCTACAGTCATGAAGACAAATTCATGGGTTCTCCACTCTACTATATAATAAGTTTAGCTCACAATGTGTCACACACAGATATTTGAATCTTATTTAATTTTTAAGCATTGTATACAAAACAGGACAAAACTATAAATATTTCAAGATTAATATAATATAAACTAAAGGCAAGATTGTTATTGTTGAAAGTTGAAAGCCTCACTAGGAGTAATGTCTTTTTTGGTTATTATTTCCAAATAAATGTGTTAATTTCTACTAAAGTTTTATACGATGAAATAAAGAGAAAAATAAGTATAATCATATTCAATAATGGAAAAATATACACTTTAGTCTGCAGAAACTTAGTATACTCAAAACACTAACTTTTTTTTGCATGCCTTCCAAAAACTTAAGCATCATATTCCTATAGATTTGAACAGTGTAAAATGACAAAAGGAAAACAGGATACTGCTTGTCACACCTTTATTTTTCACAACCACATATAGCAACTGAAAGTTTAACCTCTATTTCATGTCAACATTATCTAATTCATGGCATCTGTAGCCATTCAGTTCGACTCATGTTAAAACAATAAAGGACAAGAAAATGATTTTATTTTTCAATCAGTTTCAATGTTCAATGAATATTCAAATTGCTAACAACTGCTGATCTTTGTATGGATTTCATTTTAGGAATTTTTTAATTGGCATTTATCTTTTCAAAATTTAACACCTGCCACAAACCCTTTGGAAAGTTAACATTAGTCAGACATGGTATCTGTTCCCCCATGGCCCCTTTCATTATTATATTGTTTCCCGAGAGCTTCTGCAGGGCTGTGTTACAACCTGGGAAGCCATCACACAATGCTGCCCTTTCTGTAAAAAAGACATCTTAGCTGCTGATCTGGTTCTGCTACAGCATTTCTTCATACAAACTCACTACAATTTCTTTCTTTTCCAGTAATTAGAGTCTACATTTTGTTTCTCTCAGAAATGAATTTTATAGAAAAGCAAATTAGATACCTTTGTCTTTTTTTCCAAATTTCCGGGTTAATTACATTTTATATTGGTGATTATTTAGTTGTTCATGAAAAGTAAAAGTTAATGCCTTTGTGTAGAATTAGTTTTAATTCCTAGCCCTGGCCAGTGTTACTCAGTGGTCAGTGGTTAGAGGGTGGCCCCACACACCAAAGCGTCACAAATTCGATTTTTGGTCAAGGGCACATACCTGGTTTGCAGGTTCAATCCATGGCCCAAGTTGGGTTATGTGCAGGAGGAAACCAATTGATGTATCTTTTTCACACTGATGTTTCTCTCTCTCTCTCTCTCTCTCTCTATCTCTCTCTCCCTCCCTCCCTCCCTCCCTCCTTCCCTCCTCTCCATTCTACTTTCTCTAAACATCAGTGGGGAAAATGTCTTCCCCTGAGGATTAACAAAAAACAAAACAAAACAAAAAAACAGGAATTCATTTTAGTCCCAGAGACAAAAAAAATTATTTTTTTCATTGATATTATTTCCCTTTATAGCTAGGTTTAATTCAACTCACATTTATTTTATTTATCTTTTTGTCTATATATGAGATTGTCTTTTATTTTATTTTCTTTCTTTTTTTCTTTTTTCTCTTTTTTTGCTTAATCCCTTCGCCTTTAGTCACGGTTCTTTTAAAAATCAGTTATAATCCCCACAAGAATTTGAGCAGCAATAATACACAGTATAACTCCTGCTCACTTTAAAGTTCTAGTGAACTCAAAGTTAAAGCATCCCCAGGTAACCAGAAAGAATGATGATAAAAAGAATATCCCCCTACACTACAAAAAGGAGGCATTCATTTCTTCCCTGCAGATTTGTTTATTCTATTCTTAACACTAGGATAGTAGGCTTTTAAAGGAATTTTGCTTAAAGAGGAGACAGTACACTCTTGTTAATCTATATATATAAAAACTTAATATGAAATGTGTCCCCTCAGGAGTTCAACAGACCAGAAGTTCGAATGCTCACTATGACATCCGCTGACCACCAGGGTGTGGCGTGGAACAAAGGAAGGCCCTGGCCAACAGCCAGGAAGGGAGGCCCCAGCAGGCAGCCAGCAGCCTCTAGGGCAGTGATGGCGAACCTCTGACACGCGAACTCATTTTTTTGGTTGATTTTTCTTTGTTAAATGGCATTCAAATATATAAAATAAATATCAAAAATATAAGTCTTTGTTTTACTATGGCTGCAAATACCAAAAAATTTCTATATGTGACACAGCACCAGAGTTAAGTTAGGGTTTTTTAAAATGCTAACATGCAGAGCTCAAAAGGTTCGCCATCACTGCTCTAGGGACCCTACCCGTGCACGAATTTCATGCACTGGGCCCCTAGTTGTGAAAGAAACAAATATGAAGCAGAAGATACATAGGAAATTCATTGTGGTTTTCAAATGATAGGTGAAAGCTTGCAAACTGTCCCTTTGGTGATCTGAAGACCTGTTATAATCAGGTAACAAGAAATGTATCTGGGTCTGAGTTCTCTTATCAGTTCCTGTGTCCATAATCCTTGACCTGCATAGTCTAGACATCTGCTCCACAGGGAAATTCATCTTACTTATGCTTCATTACCTCAGCAGCATTCAAGATATTTACTAATAAATCTCACAAATTAATCAGGAACTGGGTAGAGGGGGGTGTTACAGAGGCGGGGGAAGGGGGGACATCAGTAATACTCTCAACAATAAAGATTATTTTTAAATAACTCAAAAAAATGTTTAAAAATTTAAAAAAGTTTTGTCCTAGCTGGTTTGGCTCATTGGATAGAGTGTCAGCCTGCAGACTGAAGGGTCCCGGGTTCAATCCTAGTCAAGAACACATGTCCAGGTTGCAGGCTGGATACCCAGTAGAGGGCATTAAAGAGGCTGCCGGTCAATAATTCTCTCTCATCATTGATGTTTCTCTCTCTCCCACTCACTTCCACTCTGAAATCAATTAAAACACACAAACACACACACACACACACACACACACACACACACACACACACACACAAAACCTCTAGCAAGTTTTCTTTAATGGGATTTGTTTTCAGTGCTATTCCTGGCACCTTGATCAGTGCCTAATGCAAAGTGGGGGCTGAGTTATACTTGACGAATGAATGAAAGTATTTGTCACACACTGAGCAGGATCCTTTGAAGTCCTTGGCCACACCTCACTTCCCAGCAGAGCCTCCTATCCCTGGGTCCTGCTGCATCTGGACAATTAAAGATGTTTGTCAAGTTGCCCTCCTCCCCTTCTTTTTCTCAGTGCTGAGTGAGAAAGAAAGGGAGGACATGGTCTCCTCTTAATTCCAGGCTGCTTTGCCTTTCTGACTCTCCCATGCCCCAGCAGCCTTCTCCCTTCCTCTTCTCCCCTCCCCTGACAGCCTCCCTCTTGGAAGTTCCAGGTTCTTTGTGGCAACACCCCTAGAGGTGCCTTTCTCCTCCTCTCCCTGCTCTGGGGTATCTGCAGGAAGGCAAGTCTCTATGTCCCCTACCCAGCAGGACACTGTGACCCCTCTTTGTGGGACTGAGGCAGCCCTTATCCTGAGATTCCTCTTATGACCTCACCTTCTGTAAGTGAATCAGAGTCTGTATCACTTTCCCTTTCACTTCAGCTGCTCAACTGGTTCAAGGTCCAGCCCTGCATGGGCTGGGCTTCCCCAGCCTGGGGCTCCCCTAGTGGCAGGTGTGTTTTCACTTTTCCTACATCAGCTGGGATTGCCCCTCTGTCCAGGCTAAAAGCTGCACCATGGAGCTCTGCAGAATTACATCTCAGCAGAGCTGCAAGTTCAGAGATACAGACAGAGCAGCAGGCTGAGACCCAGAAGAGGAGACTGAGACCAGAGACACCAAACAAGGCTGTGTGAGACCCAGGTGACAGCCTCTGAGTGGACACTTGGATCCCCATCTGCTGACAGAGACCAGAGACCAGAGGCCAGGATGAAGCCGGACTTGGCTGTGGGTTGCACGCTGGTGCTGGTGCTGATGATGATGGCCTCGGTGCTGACCAGGACAGGAGCAGCTCCTGCCCCTACGCCCCCCAGGACCCACCTGGGTGCAAGGGGCTGCCACATGGGCCAGTTCAAGTCTCTGTCGCCACAAGAGATGAAGGCCTTCAAGAGGGTCAAGGACGCCCTGGAAGAGTCGCTCCTGCTTAAGAACTGGAGCTGCAGCTCCCGCCCACTCCCCAGGACCCCGGACCTGAGGCAGCTGCAGGTGTGGGAGCGCCCTGTGGCCTTGGAGGCTGAGCTGGCCCTGACACTGAAGGTCCTGGGGACCTTGAAGAACTCGACCCTGGGTGACATCCTGGACCAGCCCCTTCACACGCTGCACCACATCCACTCCAAGCTTCAGGCCTGTGTCCCAGCTCAGGCCCCAGCAGGCCCCAGGCCCCGGGGCCCCCTCCGCCAATGGCTGCATCGCCTCCGGGAGGCCGGGAAGAAGGAATCCCAGGGCTGCCTTGAAGCCTTTGTCACATTGAACCTCTTCCGCCTCCTCACCCGTGACCTGAGATGTGTGGCTGCTGGAGACCTGTGTGCCTGACCCTGAGACCCACCGGCAACCTGTCCCAGCATCTTGGATTTTATTTATGCATGTCCCCCCTTTTTGTAATTTATTGACACCCAACCACTATTTATATATTTATGTGTGTGAATTGTCTAGCTCAGACCCAACAAAATACTTATTTTTCTACTTTTTGTAATAATTTTGCAAATAAACAATGAGTATAAGATGTTGAGGACAAAAAAACTTGTCACAACATTAATAAAGAAAAATAAATTGGAAATCCAGTATATTCTTGTGATACATTTATATGTATATCTATATATATAAAGAGGTAATATGCTAATTGGTCCTAATGGTGTCTCAGTCACGACCAGTCAAAGGTGCACACGCACAGGAGCTGGCAGGCTGAGACAGGGGTGGGGACTTGCACCACCAGGACATGAGGCTGTAAGGGGGTTTCAGGATGTGCCGCGGTGCCTCCCCCACAGCCGGCCCCCCCCTCCCCCCGCGGAAGCGCACACAGGCCTGCAGCACTGCCGGACCCTAAGGAAGCACATGCAGGCCCGAGACGCCGCCCAGCCTGGAGGGGGGTCTTTAGGATGGGGGCGGGGCCTCAGAAGAAAGCTCTGAGCACTCCTGCTCTGGAGTCTGAAGGCGCGGAGAAGAGGGAGAGCACATAGGCAGTTAGGGGGATCAGACAAGCAGGGGAGATCAGTTAGGGGCATCAGGCAGGCAGGAGAGCAGTTGAGGGCATCAGGCAGGCAGGCAGGTGAGCTCTTAGGAGCCAGTGGTTCTGGATTGCGAGAGGGATCCCAGATTGGACAGGGTGCAGGCCAGGCTGAGGGACCCCCCCCCCACCCCTGTGCATGAATTTTGTGCACTGGGCCACTTCATGGGTTGATGCTCAATCACTGAGCCACACCGGCCAGGTGGGATGTCCTCTTTCATCACTCTTATTCAACATTAGAGGCCCGGTGCATGAATTCGTGCATGGGTGGGGTTCCTTGGTGTGGCCTGCAGGGATCCGGCCCCAGCTCACAGCCCTGCAGCCCCGCCTGGCACCCTGCCATGGCCTGGCGCCTCCCCCTCGCCTGTGCCATCATCCCACCTGTGAGGGGGGGATCAATCAGGGCAAGGTCCCCCACCCGGCTCTCTCAGTGCCTGGGATCCGGGCAGCAGCTCCACCACCAGTGCCGCTGGTCGCCATCTGCGGGGCACTAGGCAGGGCAATCAGGCCCCCGCTCTCACCCACCTTGGCCTGACGCCACCCACTCACCTGCTCCACCGTCCCGCTGCAGTCCCGCCCTCGTCAGGGCCCATCGGGGCCAGCAGTGCCTCCACTGCTGCCCGCTGCCAGCACCCTGTTGCCGACACCAGCCATTTTCCACGCCACACCCTGGTGGTCAGTCCACGTCATAGCAAGTGGTCAAACTCCAGGTCGAACAACCACCCAAGAGGACAATTTGCATATTAGGCTTTTATTATATAGGACATGTATATGTGTATATGTGTATATGAGTAGATAACTGATTGATGGTAAAGAGTGAGACTTTTAAACCAGATAGCATAATCTGAATTTGAGGTCTACCACTAATCTCAGAAGGATTTTATGGAAATTCAGTGAGATAATTCATGTAAACCGCTTAGCAGAATGCCAGGCACATAGTGATACTCACCAATATATACACCTCAGATGTCAACTAGACTCTCTCTGGTACCAGAAGGCTACATAAAATGTCCTTGGTTTGGAAAGTCTAAATGATATTTTAAGAAACCTAGACCCTTGCCCTAGCAGGTTTGGCTCAGTGGATAGAGCATCAGCCTGCAGATTGAAGGGCCCTGAGTTTGATTCCGGTCAAAGGGCACATGCCCGGTTTGCAAGCTCAACCCACAGTAAGGGGCGTGCAGGAGGCAGCCAATCAATGATTCTCTCTCATCATTGGTGTTTCTATCTCTCTCTTCCTCTCCTTTCCTCTCTGAAATCAATAAAAATATATTAAAAAAAGAAAAACCCAGAACCTTGAGAATTTCCTGGCTTTTTGCATTCAACATGCCATCCTATCCCCACCATGGTAGACAACCAGATGTGAAACTCCATTCTAACAAAATACTTGTGAATAGACATCATTTAAAGGTTTGAGGTCGTGCAGAGAGGTAATATGGAACACCACTGGTTTAAAACAATAATTACTGCCCCTTCTCCTACAAAGTGTCTCTAATCTCAAATCTTATTTTGGACATATCAACCACCATATTTTCTACTACCATCAGTTTAGCAAGGGGTTCTCTTGGCCCTGCTCCCCATGGCACCCTGTCTCATCCAGGCAGAACAGGTGGAGGCCTTAGTGCCAGCCAACACTGAGCATATAAACACACACAGACACACACTCACACACACATAAGCACACCACATAGCATGTTATACATGAAAACCATGTCCTTAACATCATTAATGGTGATTTTAATTTTTTTCTTTATCGTTATCTTTTTTTACAATTGTTCTTAGTTGCAAATATATATTATTCTTCAAAAAGTATATACATTGCCTTTATTAAGAGAAAAAATAATTTTTTAAAGAAAGAGAGGTGGTACATAATAAATTTAAGACAATATGCTTTCAAAGGAGAAGCTTTTTTAAAAGGCCCATCAGTAATATGCTTCAGTTAGTTGGAAGTTTTTACTTACATGGAATAATCTATGAAGTAACCCAATAATTGCAAGCAATGACAGGACTGGAGTGTTTCTCTCCACATGAAGGTGAAACATTCTATTTAATATGTGTGTATCTTGCCTTATATTCTTATATTTTATGTAAATAAAATCTATATTTATGTGATATAAATTTTAATCAGTGACTATTCAAAAAAATCTTCAAAGTTGTTTTAATGGAGCCCCAAATAACACATTATTTAAAGAATAATTTTTTAAAAAATTGATTCAAATACCATTGGGATGAAGCCTAAGTTTGTGGAGACATGAGAGAGGGAATGGCCTAGAAAATTTAAGGCTTGAGAGCCCATTCTATATATTAAAGTGGTAGCAATTCATTTCAATCATTTTAATCAAAGGGAAAATGGATGTACATGATTCCTAATGTCTTCGTTTTTCTAACTCTTCACCTGAATGTAACAGAAAACTACTGCAGTTAGCATGAAAAGATGTTTGTAGATGCCAAGGAGAAGAATACAGAGAGGATTTAGGAAGGGAAAGGGATCAAAAACTGAAATCAGCCAGGCTGGGTTGGATGCTCATCTGCTTCATTCATGTTTTTAAACATATTTTCTCCCATTTCAAAGGGAAGTGAAAGATAGTTGCTCCACAGACTAAGCCAGAGTGAAATAAGTTGGGTCCTCTTAGTTTCATCCCAAATGTCTAGAAAATAGAATTCAATTGGGGCCCAGATTTGGTAAGGAATTCCCCTTTTCCAAACAGCTAGAGGCAGAGATCTCCTTGTGTAGTTGTCACTCATGGTTTTAAAAGCCTTCTGTTTTTTGCTACCTAACATTATCTTATGTAATAAAAGGCTAATATACAAATCAACTGAACGGCTGAATGACTGGTCACTATGATGCACACTGACCACCAGGGGGCATGTGCTCAATGCAGGAGCTGCCCCCTGGTGGTCAGTGTGCTCCTACAGAGGGAGCGCCGCTCAGCCAGAAGCCCTGACCTGGGCTCATGGCTGGTGAGTGCAGTGGTGATGGCAGGAGCCTCTCCTGCCTCTGCGGCAGTTCTAAGGACATCTGACTAACGGCTTAGGCCTGCTCCTCAGGGAACAGGCCTAAGCCGTCAGTCGGACATCCCCCAAGGGCTCCTGGACTGGAGAGGGTGCAGACTGGGTTGAGTGATCCCACCCCCCCCCCACCAAGTGCACAAATTTTGTGCACAGGGCCTCTAGTTTCAATATAAGTTCCTGGGAAAGAAAATCACTGTGTGCTACGCCAAAATTCCTAAAGACAAAGGTATGCAAATGTTTGACAAATGTCTTTACAGTTTTATTAAGTGAATATCAGTAAAACCTTTTAAACACTAAGAAAAAAGAAGATATATAAGAATATCAATCAAACATAAAAACCCATCACTGTTGCAGTGTATATAAATTACAACTCATACTGCATTTATATGATCATAGTAAGCTTTCCATAGAAGAATAATATTCACATTTATATAGACTAGCTACCATTTACGGATTATGCCCTTCAATTCAATAGCACATTTTTGAAAGCTATAGAATGTGTGCTTTCGATGGGTCATCAACTGACTCAAGGAATTGCTTAGAAGAATAAAAGTAGTTGAATAATGGCATTTGAGAGCACTGGCTGGTTCTCAAAGAGATGAGTGCCTCTCATCTGCCCTGTTACAGGGTCTCCTTGTTTGTAGTTGTCCCCTTTGCTTTAAAGCCTTTCAGCTTTTATTATCCACAATTTTATTATTGGGAATATGCACTTTACTACCTACCAGGAACAGAGGAAAAAGCCCAAGCTCATAGAATATCTTTATGATTGATGTGTGACAGAGGCTCTGTTGTTTGAAGAAAAGCAATAGATTTGAATAACAGAAGCATGAAATATTCCAGGAACCTAGGATATCTGATGATCTAATAAATGGGTTATTTATAACTTCTATTTTGTAGGGTAGGGATATTATTCACATCACAAACTCTATAGTATCAATTTCTGTCAATAAGATCTACAGTCATGAAGACAAATTCATGGGTTCTCCACTCTACTATATAATAAGTTTAGCTCACAATGTGTCACACACAGATATTTGAATCTTATTTCATTTTTAGGCATTGTATACCACAAAAAGGACAAAACTATAAATATTTCAAGATTAATGTAATATAAACTGAAGGCAAAAATTGTCATTGTTGAAAGTTGAAAGCCTCACTAGGAGCAATGTCTTTTTTGGTTATAATTTCCAAATAAATGTGTTAATTTCTACTAAAGTTTTATACGATGAAATAAAGAGAAAAATAAGTATAATCATATTTAATAATGGAAAAGTATACACTTTAGTCTGCAGGAACTTAGTATAATCAAAACACTAGCATTTATTGCAGGCCTTCCAAAAATTTGAGCGTCCTATTTCTACAGATTTGAACAGTGTAAAATGACAAAAGAAAGACAGGATACTGCTTTGTCACACCTTTAT